GCTGGCCGCGTCCTACGGCAGCCAGGCTGCCGCCGCCTCCTACAAGGCGCAGGCCTCCGCCCCGCTGACGGCCGCGTACCGCGCCCAGGCCTCCGGCGCCATGGCGGCGTCCTACCCGGCACAGCAGCCGTCCTCCGCCGCGCTGGCGGCCGCGTACCGAGCCCAGCCGGGCAGCGCCTACGACGGGCCGAGCCAGCTGGGGCAGCCGGCGGGCTCCTACCTGGGCCTGGCTCAGGCCGCCGCCGCCGCACCGCCCTACGAGCGCACCCGCCTGTCCCCGCCTCGCAGCGCCGTCTACGACGACCCGTACAAAAAATCGTCCGCCCTGGCAAAAAGGTACGGCGCCGGGCGGGGCACCCACACCCGCCCCTGCCGCTCGCCGGGCACCGGCGCTCCCCTCGGGGTTTGACCGGCGTGGCTCCGGCGCGCGAACGCCGGCGCGGGGGGCGCGATGGCTCCGCTCGTGCTCTGCGTCCCCGGGGTGGGGATGGGGCTCGGTGCGGGGTGGGGGGAGCCGGCGGCGCACGGCGGAGCCTCCGCGGCGCCCGACCCGTCCTGCGCCGGCCGTGCCGGTCGCGGCGCGCGCCCGGGTGGGACGCGGTGCCGCCGGGGTGGATCTGGGCACCGCCTCCCCCCAGCTCACCCCTGTCTGTTCTCTCGCCCAGGTACGGCTCCGAGCGCCGCCTGTCCGACCTGGCCGATTACCGGCGCTTAACCGACTCGCCGCTGGGCTACCGCCGCTCGCCCACCAAGTCCCCGCTGGACTACCGCCGGCTGCCCGACGCGCACGCCGAGTACGCCCGCTACTCGGGCGGCTACAACGACTACCTGCCCGCCGCCCGCGTCCACTCCGGCTACCAGCGCCGCCTGTGAGCCGCCCCCGCCGCGTGGACGGGCCTTTTTTAGCCGCTTTTTCGGTTTGACGCTCTTTATTTGAGTTTTCTAGAAGGTTCCTGCGGTTACGGTTGGTGGTGGCCGCACGGTTTGTCCCCCGCTGTGGCGCCGCCGGCACTCGGTGCCCGTTCGTAACCCACCAAGACTGTTTTTGTACCACGAGTCGCCCCATTTTTGGGTGAATTGCCCCCGTTTCCGGCGCCGTGCCTGGTGCGGTGCCGGGGTTTTTTATGACTGTAAATAAACACTGGGGTCTGTTCCGGTTCCTGTCGCCTCCCGCCTGGTTCTTCCCCACCCCTGGGGGTTCCTCCCACCCTCAGTGACGGTTCCCAGTGCCACCGTTACCACCTGCCCCGAGCACCCTCCGGTTCGGTGCCGCTCCTGGAGCTGGAGCCGCTTTGCCACCGCGGAAGAGGCGGATTTGGAGCACGAGCGGTGCTGTGCCGGCAGCGGGAAGGGCCGGAGCGCCGGGGACAGCAGTGACACCACCACGGTGACCGCCAGGGATGGCCGGGCACCGACCTGCGCCAGGGCCTTGTTCTGGGTGAGAAAAGCTGGTTTTGAGGGGCGAACCTGCGTGTGTGCCACGGCAGGGGGGGTGGGTGGTGCGTGCTGTGGGAGTCGCGTGTGTCACCGTGACCGGCACGGTCCTGGCTGTGCTGTGGGAGGGCTGGCCCGGGTTCATTACCACCACGTTAATTAACCAGGCAGGAGGGTCTAAGGCTTCTCCCCTCCTCTGCAGGGCAGCCGTTCTCTCCCCGAGGCCCCGGGCTGCGGTGAGGGCAGCGCTGGTGCCGATGGCGAGCGATGGGAGCCGAGCCCGAGCGGCAGCTGCCGAGGCAGAGGCGGAGCCAGCGCAGGCGGAACCGGCGACGTCACCGAGTGAAGAACGAGCACCGAGAGGCAGGAGGGCAGCGGGGGCCGTTTGGGGACAAAGGAGCCGTGTGGGGAGGATGGGGACAGTTTAGGAACAAACGAGGCAGGCTGGGGACCGATAAACCCGTTTGGAGACCACTGAATAAATCTGGGGACCGGCGAGCCGGGCTGGGACTGACGAGACAATGTGGGGGCAAACCAGTGCAGATTACTGAGCCCTGGGCAGGGTAATTTGGACAAACCAGCCAGTCTGGGGACTAATTAGCCCTGGGCAGGTTAATTTGCTGCTCAGGCTGTGTGTGAGGAGGAGGAAAAGGAGCAGGAGGAAAACTGAAGGTGGGGAGCAGAGCTGGGGGCTCATTAAAACCTCTTTGTGAGCCCCTTCTGGGGGTGCCCCCCTTTCCCCAGCTCATCTGCCCCTCCCTTTGCATCAGCCCCTCACCAGGAGCTCCGGGCAGGGCAGGGGCAGCACCGGGGACTCCAGAAGGTTCCACACCACGTTCTGGAGGGACTTGAGTTCAGAGAAAGAAGCGGGGGCGGAGCCAGCGCCATTTGTTAAAAATTCTGGGTTTATTTTACCGGAAAGGGGGCTCGGGGGACGCTAAGGAGGGGGGGGATCCACCCCCGCCGGCGCGGCGGGCTCCGGTCAGCTACGGCCTTGGGCTAAAAACCTACCACGGGCTTCTCCACCCTCTTGGAAAATAAAGGAAAAAAGGCAAACGACGACTCGGGGCAGCTCCGGGGGGAGCGACGGGGGGGCGGCGAAGCAAAGCAAAGCTGGCGCTGGGGGACGGCGGCACCTGAGCCCGGGGGCGGGGACCCAAAACCACCTGGAAAAGCAAAATCCTGCCCAGGGGGGCGGGGGAGCCGGGGGGGGGTGAAGGGCTGAGCTAATCCTGCCCGGGCCGGGCCTGAGCCGCGCGTCCGTGGGGAACCGGCTGGGGAGTGGCACGCGGCGGCGCTGGGACCCGGCGCGGCCCGAGACGCGCGGCGCCGATCGGCGTGCGACGGGACCCCGACGTCCAGCCGCACAAATCTTACCTGAAAGAGAAAAGAGCAGTTGGCGCAGGTGCCCCCTGGGGCCGCGCCGGGACTGCGCCGAGCCCCGGCGCCCCGGGGAGCTGCGGCGTCCTGGGAGCAACCAGAGTCCTGACGTGGAGCGGCGGGGGGGGCTCCGAGCGGCCACCGGGACCCTCCGGCCCACCGGGACCGGAGCACAGCCCTTCCAGCCCGGAGCCAACCCGGGGAGCGATCGTGGCAGCCACGGCCCGGGGGCTCTGCAGGAACCCCCCACCCTGCAGGGACCGTGCCCGGACGTCACCTGGCCCGGTGGGAACCTGAGTTACGGCCGCGACAGCGACCACCGGCACCGACCCCGCTCGCCGCGGCGCCTCCTCGGCACGGCTGGGCTTTAACGCCCGCGGGACCCCGGCGGGGCCCGTCTGTGTCACCGCGACCCGTCACCCGCCTCGAGCTCAACTGGCACAACCGGGACCACCGGCAGCGGGCCCCCCCGCGGCACCGAGTGCCGCCAACACGCTCACCTCCGGCTCAGAAGGCGGAATAGCGCGCCCGGTCCGCGTACGGGTCCCGCCCGAAGCGCTGCATGTCGTAGAGCGAGGCCCGGGCCACCGAGGAGACGGGCGAGAGCTGGCCCCGCTCGTACGTGTACGCCTCTCCCACGGTGCTGGCCGCGGCGGCCGTGCGGCGCAGGGGGCTCCTGTCCCGGGTGTAATAGGTGGAGGAGGCGGCCGCCGCGGCGGCGGTGGCGGCGGCGGCGACGGCGGCCGCCGCGCCCGGGGTCGGCAGCAGCGCTCGGTCGTACGCGTCGAGGGCGGCGGGGAGGCGGCCGGCCATGGCCGTGGTGGCGGCCATGGCCGAGGACTGGACCTGGGAGTACTGGGCGTACTGGGAGTACTGGGCCATGGTCTGCTCCGCGTAGGCGTCGTACGCGGAGGCCGTGGCGTAGGAGCGGACGCGGTAGCGCTTGTAGTAGTCGGCCATCCCGCCGTAGGCCTCATCGTAATACACGGTCTCCCCATAGCCCGCGGCGTAGGGAGCGCGCACGGCTCCGTACTGCTCGTTATAGGCCTCGGCAAAGTCCGCCACTTGCCCCGGGCGATCCACGGGGCACTCCTTAGACCAGTGCCCCTCCTTCCCGCAGCGGTAGCAGCCGCTCTTGTCTCCCATCCCGGGCGCCGTCCGCAGCCGGCTGGTGGACAGCTGCACGCGCATCCGCTTGCCTTGGGGAGAGGGGAGAGGGACGGTCAGTGCGGCCGCCCCGGCGCGGGACCACCGGGATGGGACGGGACGGGACCGGCCGCCGCCTCCCCAGCCCTCCGGAGCGACCGGCACGGGAGGAGCCGCCGCGGGACCGAGCGAGAGCCGCTGGATGGACACCGGGCACCGACTTACCGGGACGGTGCCACCGCGGCCGAGCGCGGCCACCCCGGCAAAGCCCCGGCCCCGCCAGCCCCGTACGACGGCAAAGCTTCCCGCCGGAAAACGCCAGAGCGGCGGCAAGAGGGATGAGACGCCGGGAACGGCCCCGGCACGATCGGGCCCGGCCTCGGCGCGGCACGAGGCAAAGCCAAGCGCGGCCGCGGGAGCTCCGGGCGCAGCCGCGCCGTCCCGGCTGGGCCGGCGTTTTGGGGACGGCCCCGAGCGGGGCGTGCGGAGCCGCGGCAGGACCCGGCCCCGTCGCCGCTGCCGCGCGGGTGAAGCGCCGGACGCCGCCCTGAGCACCCGGCCGGGAGACGCGCTCGCCATCGCCGCCGCCAGCGCCGCGGCTCGAGCCCGGCCGCTCGGCCCCGGCGAGCGCCCGAGCGACGCCGGGCGCGGGGTCGGCGCCTCCGTCACCCTCTTACCAGGCTGGGCAAGGCTACAAGGGCGGGCGGCAGCCTGGCGTCACCCGCTGCTCCGGCCCGGCACAGGACGTCGCCGTCGGGGTCCTCCTGCGGGGCGGCCGTGCTGGTTAATCAGAGATGGGTCAGTGCCGTCCTCCCCGGCCCAGAGCCCCCGAGCCCCGAGCCCTCGCTCCGGCTGCACCGGGAGCCGCGCCGGGGGGGCACCGACCGACACCAACCCCGAACCCCGATGGCGCTCCGTGGCGGCGAGGGGAGGGCGGGCGAGCGCCCCGAGCCGACCGTGGTCACACCTGGGGCGGGGGAGCGGGACCCTCCGCCGGGAACCCCGGAGCCCTCCCCGCCGCCCGCCGAGCCCGGGCTCACCCTGGAACTCGGTGTTGTCCAGCCCCCGGATGGCCTCCACCGCGTCCTCCGCCCGCTCCATGTGCACGAAGGCGTAGTCCTTGACGATGTCGCACTCGATGACGGGGCCGTACTCCTCGAACTTGGCGCGCAGCTCCAGGTTGGTGCAGGCGGGGCTGATGTTGCCCACGTGCAGCTTGGTGGAGGCCTTGCTCTTGTTCTTGCTGGCCTCCACGTTGATGCAGACGCCGTGCAGCTTGTGGTGGTGCAGGTTGCGGATGGCGTCCTCGGCCGCCGTCTTGTCCTCGATGTGCACGAAGCCGTAGTTCTTGATGATGTCGCACTCCAGCACCTTCCCGTACTGCTCGAACAGGGAGCGGATCTCCTGCTCCGTCGCCTCCCGCGGCAGGTTCCCGATGAACAGCTTCACCATCGCGACCCGCCTGCGCCCGGACAGCGCCGTGAGGGGACCCCGAGACCCTCCCCGAGGCACAGCCCAGCCCGGGGACCCCCCAGAGGGCTCCGGGACACGGAATCCCCCCAGGGCGAACGCCCCGAACCTCGGGGGGGATCCCCAGGGCTGAGCCCCCAAACCAAACATCTGCGTGTGCTCGGGGCTGAGCCCCCAAATCACCACCCCAAATCAACACCCCAAATCAACACCCCCAAATCAACACCCCCAACCTCTCTGTGTGTCCCCAGGGCTGAGCCCCCAGACACCCCAAATCCCACACAGGGAAATTACCCCAAAACTTCTTCAGGGCAGAGCCCCAAGCACCACAAATCCCTCCAAATAAACATCCCAAACCTCTGCCTGTGCCCAACAAAGGGCAGAGCCCTCAAACACCTCAAAAAACACCCCAAAAATTCTGTCCCTTCTCCTTTGGGGCAGAGCTCCCCAAAAACCCAAATCCCCCCAAACAAACACCCCAAAACTCTGAGCCTCCCAAGGGGTCTAAGCCCCCAAACTCCTGAAATATACCCCAAATAAATACCCTAAATCTCTGCCCCCACTTAAGGCCTGAGCCCAAACAAAGGGTTGAGCCTGAAATTCCCTAAAACTGTGCCCCCGACACCCCAAATCCTCACAAAACAGCCCAAACCTTCGACCCCCGCCCCACTTCCAGGGCTGCGACTCAATAAGGGCTGAGCCCCCCAACACTGACCCCTCCACGGCTTGTGCCCCCCAAAACCCCCCAAAATCCTCTGCCCTCCCCGTAGCAGGGCAGAGCCACGCCCCGAACCCCAAACCCCTCGGATTTGAGAGCCCCCCGGATCTGAGAACCCCCCAAACCCCTCCAGGGCCTGAGACCCCCCCCAGGCCTGAGACCCCCAAAACGCCTCCGCCCCTCTTAAGTCTGAGACCCCCCCCAGATCTGAGAGACCCTCGGATCGGAGACCCCCCTGGATCTGAGACCCCCCGCTCGGATCTGAGACCCGCCCCCGGATCTGAGAGCCCCTTCGGATCTGAGACCCCCTTCGTATCTGAGACCCTCGATCTGAGACCCCTCGGATCTGAGACCCCCTAGATCTGAGACCCCCTCGGATCTGAGACCCCCGGATCTGAGAGCCCCTCGGATCTGAGACCCCCCGGATCTGAGAGCCCTCGGATCTGAGACCCCCGGATCTGAGACCCCTCGGATCTGAGACCCCCGGATCTGAGACCCCCGGATCTGAGAGCCCCTTCGGATCTGAGACCCCCCGGATCTGAGACCCCCGATCTGAGACCCCCGGATCTGAGAGCCCCTTCGGATCTGAGGCCCCCTCGGATCGGAGACCCCCTCAAAACGTCTCCGCCCCCACAGCGCCGAGACACCCCCCAAACCCGTCCGGCCTCCCACCCTGAGGCCTCCGGGCGCCCCAGCGGGGCCGGGGCCGGGCCCTGGCCGTGTCCCCGCGCCCCCCATCCCCTGCGGTACCGACCCCCTCCCTCCCGGTACCGACCCCCCATCGCCCCCGCCCCACCTGCCCCGTCCGCCGCGCGCTGGCTCAAAATGGCGGCGGCGTCTCCCGGCCCGGCCCCGCCTCCCGCGCGCTCATTGGACAGCGGCGCTGTCCGTCAAACTCCGCGCTACGTCACCGCTCCGCAGGCCGGCCCCGCCCACCCGGCCCTGGCGGCCAATCACGGGAGGGAGGGGGCGGGGCCAGCGGCGGGGCGGGCCATTGATGGCGGGGCACTGGGAGCGCTGGGAGCACTGGGAGCGCTGGGAGGGGGCACTGGGAGCACTGGGGATACTGGGAGCGCTGGGAGGGGGCACTGGGAGCATTGGGAGCGCTGGGAGGGGCACTGGGAGCACTGGGGATACTGGGAGCGCTGGGAGGGGGCACTGGGAGCGCTGGGAGGGGGCACTGGGAGCACTGGGGTCTGTGCTGGGAGCACTGGGAACCCTGGGATCCGCACTGGGAACACTGGGGTTTGCACTGGGAACCCTTGGATCCGCACTGGGAACGCTGGGGTCTGTGCTGGGAGCACTGGGAACCCTGGATTCTTTACTGGGAGTGCTGGGGTACATGCTGGGAGCACTGGGAATGTTCAGTGGTGGGAGCACTGGAGGTACTGGGGGCGCTGGGAGCACTTGGGACCGTACTGGGAACGCTGGGAACGCTGGCGTGGCCCGACCGCCCATCACTGAACCCCTGAAACCAGCCCAGCCCTTCCCACCCTATCCCATCCCATCCCTTCTCATCCCACCCCATCCCATCCCACCCCACCCCATCCCATCCCATCCCATCCCATCCCATCCCATCCCATCCCATCCCATCCCATCCCATCCCATCCCACCCCATCCCATCCTATCCCATCCCATCCCATCCCATCCCATCCCATCCCATCCCATCCCATCCCATCCCATCCCATCCCATCCCTGTATCCCATCCCATCCCATCCCATCCCATCCCATCCCATCCCATCCCATCAATCCCATCCCATCCCATCCCATCCCATCCCATCCCTGTATCCCATCCCATCCCATCCCATCCCATCCCCACTCCCATCCCATTCCCGTTCCCATCCCCACTCCCATCCCAATCCCATTCTGATCCCATCTCCATCCCCATCCCATTCCCATTCCCATCTCCATCCCCACTCCCGTTCCCGTTCCCAGCACACTCAGAGCCCTCGGGGTCTCTCCGCTCTCTTTATTGGGGTGGGGGCTGCGCGGTGACGTCACCGGGACGGGGGGGGGACACACACAGAGACCCCCAATGGGACCCCCCCAGGTCCCTCCGTCGGCTCCGCAGGATCCCCCCGGCCCGGGGGTCCCTCCAGGGGCTCCGAGGGGCCCCCCAATTCCAGGGGCCCCCCCAATTCCAGGGTCCCTCTGAGAGGCCCCCCCAATTCCAGGGGCCCCCCCAATTCCAGGGTCCCCCCGAGGGGCCCCCCCAAATCCAGGACCCCTCTGAGGGGCCCCCCCAATTCCGTGATCCCCCCAAGGGGCCCCCCCAATTCCAGGGTCCCCCCAAGGGGCCCCCCAATTCCAGGGTCCCTCCGAGGGCCCCCCCAATTCCGTGATACTCCCAAGGGGCCCCCCCAATTCCAGGGTCCCTCTGAGAGGCCCCCCAATTCCAGGGTCCCTCCGAGGCCCCCCAATCCAGGGTCCCTCTGAGGGCCCCCAATTCCAGGGTTCCCCCAATTCCAGGGTCCCTCCGAGGGCCCCCCCAATTCCAGGGTCCCCCTGAGGGCCCCCCCAATTCCGGGGTCCCCCCGAGGGCCCCCCAAGCTCTACTTGTTCTTCTTGAAGAAGCTGAACCGTTTCTCCCTCTCTTTGGGCTCGCGGGCCAGGGGGGCCCCCTCGGCCGGGGGGGGCACCGGGGGGAGGCTCAGGGCCCTCGACATCCCCTTGGGAGCCCCCCCGGAGCCCTCCCGGGGACCCCCCGGGCCCAGCGCGGCCGCGGCCTGGATGACCCGGAGCCAGGAGGCCATGTCCGCCTGGGGATGGGACACAGGGGTCAGGGGTCAGGGAGTCAGGGGCAGGGGCACAGGGGGTCAGGGGGCAGGGGGCACAGGGGTCAGGGGGTCAGGGGGTCAGGAGAGTCAGGGGTCGAGGGGACAGAGGGTCAGGGGGTACAGGGGGTCAGAGGTCAGGGGTCAGGGGACAGCGGGGTCAGGGGGCACAGGGGTCAGGGGGCACAGCAGGGTCAGGGGCACGGGGGTCAGGGACAGCGGGGACAGGGGGACAGCAGGGGTCAGGGGGCACAGGGGAGACAGGGGACAGTGGGGTCAGGGGGACAGGGGGCACAGGGGGTCAGGGGACAGCAGGGACAGGGGACAGCGGGGTCAGGGGGCATAGGGGGTCAGGGGGCACAGGGGGACAGGGGGCACAGCGGGGTCAGGGGGCACAGCGGGGTCAGGGGGGCACAGGGGGTCAGGGGACAGCCGGGACAGGGGGGCACAGGGGGTCAGAGGGGCACAGGGGGTCAGGGGACAGCGGGGTCAGGGGACAGCAGGGTCAAGGGGCACAGGGGGTCAGGGGGCGCAGGGGTCAGGGGACAGTGGGGTCAGGGGGGAAAAGGGGACACAGGGGTTGGGGGGGGACAGGGGACACTGTGGGGGCACTGGTATCAGGGGGGACATGGGGGGACTGAGGGGACACTGGAGGGTCCTGAGGGGGACCCTGTGGGGACATTGAGGGGACACTGAGGGGACAGGGGGTCTCACCTCGTCCTTGGCCTGGAACAGATACTCCTTCCCATCGCTCAGCCTGGGGGTGGGTCAGGGGCAGGATCAGCCACTGCGACCCCCAGAACCCCCCCACAGCCCCTCCTTGTCCCCTCCCACCCCCATGTCCCCCCATGTCCCCCACAGCCCCTCCTTGTCCCCTCCCACCCATGTCCCCATGTCCCCCCATTTCTCCCCTCTCTCCCCTACACCCCCCTATTTCTCCCTGCCTTGTGCCCCCATCTCCCCCGTGTCCCCCCACAGCCCTCCTTGTCCCCTCCCATCCCCCATGTCCCCCATGTCCCCCACAGCCCCTCCTTGTCCCCCTCCCACCCCCCATGTCCCCCCATCCCCCCATTTCTCCCTCTCATCACCCCAATTCTCCCATGTGCCCCCAAATCCCCCTGTGTCCCCTCTGTGTCCCCTCCATGTCCCCTCTTGTCCCCCCATTTCCCCATGCCCCCTGTGTCCCCCCACATTTCCCTCGTGTCCCCCCTGTGTCCCCCCATGTCCCCCCATGTCCCCCCCTGTGTCCCCCCTTTCTCCCCCCATTTCTCCCCCTGTGTCCCCCCATGTCCCCCTTTTCCCCCATTTCTCCCATTTCTCCCCCGTACCCCAGCCTGAACACGTGTTTCCTCTTCCTGTAGGCCGTGGCCGGGTGGGCGCGGGCGCCGCGCAGGGGGCAGGGGCTCTCCGTGGAACGGGACCCCGCGCCCGCCCCCGCGCGTCCTTGAACACGCTCAGGAGCCCCCTGAGCACGCAGTACACGCTCTGCCAGGACCTGGGGTCAGGAGGGTCAGGGGGTCAGAGCCCACCCACCCACCCAGCACGCAGTACACGCTCTGCCAGGACCTGGGGGGCACAGGGGGTCAGAGCCCACCCACCCACACCCCTGAGCACGCAGTACACGCTCTGCCAGGACCTGGGGGTCAGGGGGTTAAACCCACCCACCCACACCCCCTGAGCACGCAGTACACGCTCTGCCAGGACCTGGGGGTCAGGGGGTCAGAACCCACCCACCCACACCCCCTGAGCACGCAGTACACGCTCTGCCAGGACCTGGGGGCACAGGGGGTCAGAGCCCACCCACCCACACCCCCTGAGCACGCAGTGCAGGCTCTGCCAGGACCTGGGGGTCAGGGGGTTAAACCCACCCACCCACCCCCTGAGCACGCAGTACACGCTCTGCCAGGACCTGGGGGTCAGGGGGTTAAACCCACTCCACCCACACCCCCTGAGCACGCAGTACACGCTCTGCCAGGACCTGGGGGTCAGGGGTTAAACCCACCCACCCACACCCCCTGAGCACGCAGTGCAGGCTCTGCCAGGACCTGGGGGTCAGGGGTTAGAACCCACCCACCCACCCAGCACACAGTGCAGGCTCTGCCAGGACCTGGGGGCCAGGGGGTCAGGGGGTCAGAGCCCACCCACCCACCCACCCAGCACGCAGTACACGCTCTGCCAGGACCTGGGGCACGGGGTTAAACCACCCACCCACCCACCCAGCACGCAGTACACGCTCTGCCAGGACCTGGGGGTCAGGGGTTAAACCCACCCACCCACCCCCTGAGCACGCAGTACACGCTCTGCCAGGACCTGGGGGCACAGGGGGTCAGAGCTCACCCACCCACCCCCTAGCACACAGTGCAGGCTCTGCCAGGACCTGGGGGGGTCAGAGGGGAAAGGGTTTTAAAGGAAAGGGTGTGGTATTTAATGGGTGGGGCCCTGAAAGGGCGTGGCCATGCAGGGTGTGTCCCAAATGGGTGTGTCCCAGGTGGGTGTGTCCCAAATGGGTGTGTCCCGGGTGGGTGTGTCCCAGATGGGTGTGTCCCAAATGGGTGTGTCCCCAATGGGCGTGTCCCAGGAGGGTGTGTCCCCAATGGGTGTGTCCCCAATGGGTGTGTCTCAGGTGGGTGTGTCCCATCTGGGCGTGTCCCCACTGGGTGTGTCCCAGGAGGGCATGTCCCCAATGGGTGTGTCCCTAATGGGCGTGTCCCCCATGGGCGTGTCCCCGGTGGGTGTGTCCCAGGTGGGTGTGTCCCATCTGGGCGTGTCCCATCTGGGCGTGGCCCCACCTGTTGGTCGCCCTCTTTCCCGGCGCCTCCAGCTCGTGTTTCCGGCACAGCCCCCCCTCGAGGGTCTCGGGGGCGGGGGGAGGGCGAGGGGGCAGCGTGGCCGCGACGCCCCCCGGGCCGGGCCCCCTCCTGGGCCCGCTGGGCAGCGCCGGCATCTGGGGTGGGGAGGGGCGTCAGGGGGCCCCACTCGGGGGCTCCTCCCACCTGGGGTCCCCAGCTTTGGGGTCCCCACTTCGGGGTCCCCACCTTGGGGTCCCCATCTTTGGGGTCCCCACTCTGGGGTCCCCACCTTTGGGGTTCCCACCTTGGGGGTTACCTGGGCCGTGGTGCTGTCGGGCGGATCCCGTTGAGGGCGGGGGTCTCCGTCTGGCGGCTCTGGGGGTGGGGGCCCTGGGGGACACCCTCTGTCACCCCAGAACCTCCCTGTGTCCCCTCCCAGATTTCCCCCCAAATCCCCCTGCACCCCCAAATCCTCCCCACCCCAAATCCTCAGGGGCCCCCAGGACCCCCTTCCAAACCCCCCAAAACCTCAGTGTTGCCCTCGGTCCCCCTCAATTCCCCCCAGACCCCGATCATCCCCTCCCTGTCCCCCCAGACCTGCATGTGCCCCCCAAACCCTCCCAAACCTCACTGTCCCCTCCCCAACCCCCCACCGCCCTCCCCTCACCTCGGTGCCTCCCCACCCCCTCCATCCTGGCTCTTGGGGTCTCTGCAGGGGGCCCCCCAGACTCAGCCTCTGCCAGGGGGCCATGGGGGCGGCTGCTGCTGCTTCCTCAGCTCCTCCTCCTCCTCCTCCCGCCGGCGCCGCTCCTTCTCCTCCAGCTGGGGGCACAGGGGCCAGGGGGCTCAGGGACACCCCAGATCCAGGGGGGCACAGGGGGCGCTCAGGGACACCCCAGATCCAGGGGGCACAGGGGGGCTCAGGACACCCCAGATCCAGGGGGGCACGGGGGGCTCAGGGACACCCCAGATCCAGGGGGCACGGGGGGCTCAGGGACACCCCAGATCCAGGGGGCCAGGGGGCCGGGTGGGACTCAGGGACACCAAATCCAGGGGGGCACAGGGGGCTCAGGGACACCCCAGATCCAGGGACCCCCAGTGTTAAAGGGACACAGGAACGCCCTGAGGTGACATGGGGACCCCCAGCACTGAGGGGCCCTGGGGACTCCCTGGAATGGGGGTGACCTGGCCCTGAGGTGACCTGAGCCCCCGTGTCACCCTCCCCCTGCCCCGTGTCCCCTCAGTGTCACAGAGACCCCTCCCCTCCTTCTCCTCTCCCCGTGTCCCCACCTGTGCCCCCTCCCCATGTCACCCGTGTGCCCCTGCCCCCTTCCCCTGCAGCCCCTGTGTCCCCCATGTCCCCCTGTGCCCCCTGACCGGTGGTGAGCCCCCATGTACCCCCATGTCCCCCATGTCCCCCCATGCCCCCTGACCGTGGTGAGCCCCCATGTCCCCCCATGTCCCCCCGTGCCCCCTGACCGTGGTGAGCCCCCATGCCCCTGACCGTAGTGAGCCCCCATGTCCCCCTGTGCCCCCTGACTGTGGTGGAGTCCCCCATGCCCCCTCGTGCTCCCTGACCGTGGTGAGCCCCCATGTCCCCCCATGCCCCCTGACCGTGGTGAGCCCCCATGCCCCCTGACCGTGGTGAGCCCCCATGTCCCCTGTCCCATGACCCCCTGACCGTGGTGAGCCCCCATGCCCCCCTGACCGTGGTGAGCCCCCTGACCGTGGTGAGCCCCCCATGTCCCCCTGACCGTGGTGAGCCTCCCCAGGGCAGCGAATCTCTCTTCCCAGGCGGCTGCCGCCTTCTGGAAGCTCTGGTGGCGCTTGAGGAGGGTCTCGGCCTCGGCCAGGCTGGAGCCCAGCTCGGGGGCGCGGGCCAGGGGCTCCCGGGACGCCAGCCAGGCCTCGGCCGTGGCGGCATCGCGGCCGAACACCAGCACCTCCAGCACTGCGGGGATGGGGGGGTCACAGGGGGAGTGACCCATCTGTGACCCCTGACCCCCCATCTGCCACCCCTGACCCTCCATGTGTCATCCCTGACCCCCCCTCGGGGCACAGAGACCCCCAGTCTGCACCCCCATCCGAACACCAGCACCTCCAGCACTGCGGGGACGGGGGGGTCACATGGGGAGGGGACACTCCATGGGTCACCCCTGACCCCCCATGGGTCACCCCTGACCCCCATCTGTGACCCCTGACCCCCATCTGCCACCCCTGACCCCCATCTGCCACCCCTGACCCCCCCTTGGGGCACGGAGACCCCCAGTCTGCACCCCCATCCAAACACCAGCACCTCCAGCACTGCGGGGACGGGGGGGTCACAGGGGAGGGGACACTCCATGGGTCACCCTGACCCCCATCTGTGACCCCTGACCCCCATCTGTGACCCCTGACCCCCTCGGGGCACGGAGACCCCCAGTCTGCACCCCCAGGCCTTGGGGGTGTCACACCCAAACACCAGCACCTCCGGCACTGGGGGGTCCCAGAGGGTCCCAGGGGGACAGGGGTGGTTATGGGGGGTCCCAGGGGGTCCCAGGGGACAGGGGTGATTATGGGGGCCCCAGGGGTCCCAGGGGTGCAGGGTCCCCCCATCTCACCGGTCTGCAGCCACTCCAGCTTGTCCTGCCAGCGCTTCCCGATGTCCCGGCGCCGCTCCTGGAGCTCGGCCAGTTCCTGGGACAGCTGGGGGACTCGGGGTCAGGGGGCCGGGGGACACAGGGACAGAGGGGACAGAGGGGACAGAGGGGACAGAGGGCACAGGGGGACAGGGGGCAGAGGGCACAGGGGGACAGAGGGCACAGGGGGACAGACGGCACAGAGGGGACAGAGGGTACAGGGGGCACAGGGGGACAGAGGGGACAGAGGGCACAGGGGGGACACAGGGACAGAGGGGGGGACAGAGGGACAGGGGGGACAGAGGGGACAGAGGGCACAGAGGGACAGAGGGCACAGAGGGCACAGGGGGCACAGGGGGGACAGAGGGCACAGAGGGCACGGGGTGTCCCGGGGTACCTTGTCGGCGTCGTGGTGGCCGCGCTCCAGCAGCGCCGTCCCCGCGGCCACGCACGACTCGAAGGAGCCGCCGCGCGCGTCCAGCTCGGCCCGGAGCCCCTGGTGCTGCTGGATCAGCAGCTCGGCCGCGGTGACATCCCTGGGACAGGGACAGGGGTCACCCTGAGTGACCCTGAGTGACCCTGAGTGACCCCAGCCCTGAGAAACCCCCCCCAGAGCCCCTGGTGCTGCTGGATCAGCAGCTCGGCCGCGGTGACATCCCTGGGACAGGGACAGGGGTCACCCTGAGTGACCCTGAGTGACCCTGAGTGACCCTGAGTGACCCCAGCCCTCACCAACCACCCCATGGAGCCCCTGGTGCTGCTGGATCGGCAACTCGGCCGCGGTGACACCCCAGGGACAGGGACAGGGACGGTGCCACTGCGGTGTGACCCCGTGTGACCCCTTGACCCCACATGACCCCGACCTGCATCTCCACCTTGGCCACGGTCACACCCCTGTGCTGGGGTCACTGCGATGTCCCCGAGCTGTCCCCGGGCTGTCCCCGAGCTGTCCCGGTGGTGTCCCCAGGCTGTCCCCGAGCTGTCCCCGAGCTGTCCCGGTGGTGTCCCCAAACTGTCCCTGAGCTGTCCCCGTGATGTCCCCAGGCTGTCCTTGGGCTGTCCCCATGTTGTCCCCGTGCTGTCCCCGAGCTGTCCCCGGGATGTCCTGGTGGTGTCCCCGTACTGCCCCCAAGCTGTCCCCCTGGTGTCCCCAAGCTGTCCCCAAACTGTCCCCGGACTGTCCCCGAGCTGTCCCCGGGCTGTCCTGGTGGTGTCCCTGTGCTGTCCCTGAGCTGTCCCCGAGCTGTCCCCAGGCTGTCCCCGCTCACCTGGGGCGCTCCCGGGCCTGGAGCTGCAGGTGCATCCCGTCCATCCAGAGCCGGAGGTCGCGGGCGGCGCGGAGGAACCGGAACTGCTCCACGGTGTCCCCGAGGAGGCGCCGGCGGCGCTGGCAGCGCCCGCGGAGCTCGGCCCAGGCCGCGCTCACCAAACGCTCCTGCGCCCGCAGCTCCTCCGCCCGCGGGCCCGCATACGCCCCGGCCAGGCGGGCTGCGGCCTCCTGAACCTGGGACACCTGGGATAGGGACAGGGGATATGGGATATGGGATATGGGATATGGGATATGGGACATTATGGGATATGGGATATGGGATATGGGACAGGCTGCGGCCTCCTGAACCTGGGACACCTGCAGGGACAGGGGATATGGGATATGGGATATGGGATATGGGACAGGCTGCGGCCTCCTGAACCTGGGACACCTGCAGGGACAGGACAGGGGATATGGGATATGGGACATGGGATATGGGATATGGGACATGGGATATGGGACAGGGGACAAACAGGCTGCGGCCTCCTGCACATGGGACACCTGGGACAGGGACAGGGGACATGGGACACATCCTGCTCAGTGCCCCACCGAACAGCCTCCCTCCCCTGTCCCCACTGGTCCTTTCCTGTCCCCACCCGTCCTGCCTGTCCCTCACCTGGGCGCTCAGGGCCTGCACATCGTGCTCGAAGGCGGTGACACCGTCCCAGCCCCAGGTCCCTGTCCCCCCTGTCCCCCGTCCCCCTGTCCCCCCTGTCCCCCTGTCCCTGTGCCCCTCACCTGTGCGCTGAGGGCCTGCACGTCGTGCTCGAAGCGCGGTGCTGCCGCTCCAGCCCCAGGTCCCTGTCCCCCTGTCCCCCTGTCCCCCTGTCCTGTGCCCTTCCCTGTCCCTGTCCCCCCGTCCCTGTGCCCCTCACCTGGGCGCTCAGGGCCTGCACGTCGTGCTCGATGGCGCGGTGCTGCCGCTCCAGCCCCAGGTCCCTGTGCCCCCTGTCCCCCTGTCCCCTCTGTCCCCTCTGTCCCTCCCTGTCCCTCCCTGTCCCCCCTGTCCCTCCCTGTCCCCCCTGTCCCTGTGCCCCTCACCTGTGCGCTCAGGGCCTGCACGTCGTGCTCGAAGGCGCGGTGCTGCCGCTCCAGCCCCTCCGCGGCGCGCAGGTCCCGGCCCAGCTCCTCGGGCACCTGGCGCTCCTTGTCCCTCAGGTGCTCCAGGACCTGGCGCGCGTCGCGCCGGAACCGCTGCAGGTCGTGGGCGGCCGCCAGCTCCTGCGCCCGCGTGGCCACGAGCTCCAGCAGCTCGGCCCAGGCCTCGTTGAGCCCCGCCTGCCACTGCGCCACCGCCGCGCGCTCGGGGTGGCCCCCGGCGATCAGCGCCGCCGCCGCCGCGTTGGCCGCGTCCACCCGCTCCTGCCCCAGCCCGCCCGTGTCCCGGGAGAACTCCCGGAACTTGTCACGCAGCAGCTGCGGGGACAGGCACGGTCAGGGGGACGGGGGACAGGGGACAGGGGACAGGCACGGTCAGGGGGACAGGGGACAGGCAGGGTCAGGGGACGGAGACAGGGACAGGCACGGTCAGGGGCACGGGGACAGGGAACAGGCTGTGGTCAGAGGGACGGGGACAGGGGACAGGCACGGTCAGGGGGACAGGGGACAGGCCATGGTAGGGGGATGGGGACAAGGGACAGGCACGGTCAGGGACAGGGGACAAGGGACAGGGGACAGGCACGGTCAGGGGGCACGGGGACAGGGGACAGGCACGGTCAGGGGGACAGGGGACAGGGGACAGGCCGTGGTCAGGGGGGACAGGGGACAGGTGACTGGTCAGGGGGACAGGGGACAGGGGACAGGCGCGGGTCAGGGGGACGGGGACAGGGGACAGGGGACAGGGACAGGCACGGTCAGGGGGGCAGGGGACAGGGGACAGGGGACAGGCATGGTCAGGGGGAACGGGGGACAGGCCGTGGTCGGGGGACAGGGGACAGGCTGTGGTCATGGGGAAGAGGGGACAAGGGACAGGCCGTGGTTGGGGGACAGGCTGTGGTCAGGGGGAACAGGGGACAGGCATGGTCAGGGGGGACAGGGGACAGGCTGTGGTCAGGGGGAACAGGGGACAGGGGACAGGCATGGTCAGGGGGGACAGGGGACAGGCTGTGGTCAGGGGGAACAGGGGACAGGGGACAGGCATGGTCAGGGGGGACAGGGGACAGGCTGTGGTCAGGGGGACAGGGAGACAGCCTGGGGTCAAGGAGGAACAGGGGACAGGGGTTTACAGGGGACACAGGGGACACCCACAGTGTCACCATCCCCGTCCCCTCTCAGGTCACCGTCCCCCTGTTCCCTCACCGTGACGTGCTCGTAGTCCTGGCCCAGCTCCCGCGACGCCGCCACCACCTCCCTCTCGGCGATCCACTGCTCCAGGTCGTCCATGTCCCGGCGCAGCTGGCACAGCCGGTGGTGGCCCTGCAGGGCGGCCCGGCGCTCCCCGGCCAGGTGGCACAGCCCCGTGTACAGGCGCTGCACCTGGGCCGCCCGGGCACGGAGCCTGTCGCTGTCACCGGGGGGGACACGGGCAGGGCAGTGTCACCCACAGGACACGGGCAGGGCAGTGTCACACGGGGGACATGGGCAGGGCAGCGTCACATGGGGGGGACATGGGAAGGGCAGCGTCACCCAGTGGGGACACGGGCAGGGCAGAGTCACCCAGGGGACACGGGCAGGGCAGTGTCACCCACAGGACACGGGCAGGGCAGCGTCACCCAGGGGACATTGGAAGGGCAGCGTCACCCAGGGGGCACGAGTAGGGCAGTGTCACCCAGGGGGGACACGGGCAGGGCAGGGTCACCCAGGGGGGACATGGGCAGGGCAGAGTCACCCAGGGGGGACACGGGCAGGGCAGCATCACCCAGGGAGGACACGCAGCCCCCGAGGGGTGACGGCCAGGGGGACATAGGGATGGGAAATGCCCAAGGATGCAGAGACCTCGAGGGGTGACGGATGGGGGCACAGGGGGGGACGCAGGGGAATTCCGGGGCTGACAGGACAGGCCTGGGGGTGTCCCCAGGGTGTCCCCACCTGTCGGGGTGTCCCGAGGCCGCCATGTCCCGGCCCTGCTGCAGCAGCAGCTCCACGGTGCGGCCGTAGTCGCGCAGCTCCTGCTCCAGCCCCAGGTGCCGGCTCAGCATGGCCTGGGCGCCCGGCTCGTCCTGGGGGGGGCACAGGCTCAGCCCAGGGGGGTCCCCAGGGGGGTCGGAAGGGGGGTCCGGGGGCTCTGTCCCACCTTGGCCTTGTCCTGGGCCAGCACGTGCAGCTCCCGCTCGCCCAGCCAGGCCTCGGCGGCCGCCGCGTCCCCGAGGAAGCGCTGGGCGGCCAAGGCGGCCTCGAGGCGCCGCTGCCGCCGCGTCACCTGCGCCCGCAGCTCCCGCCACGCCTCGCGCAGGCCGGGACCCCCGGGCCGCCCCCGACGGGGACCCCCTCCCGGGGGACCCCCCCGGCCGCCGGGACCCCCCGCTCCAGCAGCTCGGCCACGCGGCGCTCGCGGCCCTGCAGCTCCTTCTGCAGCGTCTGTGGGGGCACAGCGGGGTCGGGGGACACAGCGAGGTCAGGGGGCACAGCGGGTCAGGGGGCACAGCGGGGTCAGGGGGACAGCGGGGTCAGGGGGACAGCGGGGTCAGGGGGCACAGCGGGGTCAGGGGGACAATGGGGTCAGGGGGACAGCGGGGTCAGGGGGACACAGCGGGGTCAGGGGGGGACAGGGAATGCACTGGGGGGCCATGGGGGGGCCCCCTGGGATCTGGGGACCCCCCAGCCCACCTCGTTCTTCTGGAGCAGCAGCTGCACTGAGGGCAGGTCCTTCCCGTGGTCCGTGGAGGTGGCCAAGGCCTGGCGCTCCTGCACCCACAGCTGGGGGGACACAGGGGGGGCAGTGGGGTCACTGGGGTCACCCAGGGGTCATTGGAGACCACTGGGGGTCACTGGGGTCACCCAGGGGTCATTGGAGACCACTGGGGGTCATTGGGAGTCACTGGGGGTCACCCAGGGGTCATTGGAGATCACTGGGGGTCATTGGGGGTCACTGGGGGTCAGGGCCAGGCCCTGGCACAGCTGGGGGGACACGGTGGGGACCCCACAGTCACGGGGGGACATCAAGGTGGCCGGGGCTGGGGGCTGGGGACAGCGACCCACCGAGGGCTCGGGGGTGGGAGGTCAGGGGTGGGGGCTCAGGACCCCAGGGGTCAGTGCCAGACCCCCCCCCACTCACGAGCTCGTCCTCCAGGTCCCTGCGGAACTGGAGCAGCTCCTTGGCGGCCGCGAGGCTCCTGCCGCGCTCCCGCAGCGGCTCCCGCAGCTCCCGGAACTGCCGCTCCAGGTCCTGCACCTGCGCCTGCACCGCCCCGGTGCGGGGCTGCCCCGGGCTGAGCCCCCCGGCCTGGGCTCGCAGCGCCTCCACCTCCTGCTCCCGCAGCGCCGCCTGCGTCTCCAGCAGCTGGGGGGGACAGGGGGGCTCAGGGACCCCTGGGGGAACCCTGAACCCGCACCTCATCCCTGCACCCTCATCCCTGCATCCCAACTGACACCCCAAACCTGCACCTCATCCCTGCACCACAAACCTGCACCTTTTCCCTGCACCCTCATCCCTGCATCCCAAACCTACACCCCAACTGACACCCCAAACCTGCACCTTCATCCCTGCACCCTCATCCCTGCACCCAGAACTTGCACCCCAACTGACACCCCAAACCTACACTCCAAACCCTGCCCCCTTTTCCCCTCCACAGCCCTCCCCGTGCCCCCATGCCCTCCCCATGCCCGCCGTGGCCTCACCTGGTGCCCCCGTGCCCTCCCCGTGCCCTCCCTGTGCCCCCATGCCCTCCCTGTGCCCCCCATGCCCTCCCGTGCCCCTGTGCCCTCACCTGGTGCCCCCATGCCCTCCCCGTGCCCCCTGTGCCCTCCCTGTGCCCTCCCCGTGCCCCCCGTGCCCTCACCTGGTGCCGGGTCAGCAGGACCCCCACGCTGGTCAGGTCCTGGCCGCAGTGGCCGGAGCGGAGCTGGGCCCGGACCCCCGAGGCCACGAGCGGAGCCCGGCGCAGGCCTGGGCACAGCGCTCGGCCCGCGCCGCCTCCGCCAGCCCCCGGCCCTTGGCCCCGGCCGCCGCCTCCACCTGCGCCCAGAGCGCCCGCAGGGCCCCCAGCGGGGCTGTCACCTGCCCCGAGAGGGAGGGACGGGACCCTGCCAGCTGCTCCCCGTCCTGTGGGACACAGGAATACAGGGATAGAGGGACATGGGGTATAGGGATACAGGGATACAGGGAGACAGGGATATGGGGCACCATGGCCTCCACCTGCGCCCACAGCGCCCGCAGGGCCCCCAGCGGGGCTGTCACCTGCCCTGAGAGGGACGGACGGGACCCTGCCAGCTGCTCCCCATCCTGTGGGATAGAGGGATATGGGGGTATAGGGACACAGGGATATGGGGATATGGGGCACCATGGCCTCCACCTGCGCCCAGAGCGCCCGCAGGGCCCCCAGCGGGGCTGTCACCTGCCCTGAGAGGGAGGGACGGGACCCTGCCAGCTGCTGCCCGTCCTGTGGGACACAGGGATAGAGGGATACAGGGACACAGGGATACAGGGATACAGGGAGACAGGGATATGGGGCACCATGGCTTCCCACAGCGCCCGCAGGGCCCCCAGCGGGGCTGTCACCTGCCCTGAGAGGGACGGACGGGACCCTGCCAGCTGCTGCCCGTCCTGTGGGACACAGGGATAGAGGGATATGGGGTATAGGGATACAGGGGTACAGGGATATGGGGATATGGGGCACCATGGCCTCCACCTGCGCCCACAGCGCCCGCAGGGCCCCCAGTGGGGCTGTCACCTGTCCCAACAGGGAGGGACGGGACCCTGCCAGCTGCTGCCCATCCTGTGGGACACAGGGATACAGGGATATGGGGGTATAGGGATACAGGGATACAGGGATATAGGGCACCACGGCCTCCATCTGTGCCCCGCAGGGCCCCCAGCGGGGCTGTCACCTGCCCTGACAGGGAGGGACGGGACCCTGCCAGCTGCTCCCCATCCTGTGGGACACAGGGATATGGGGATACAGGGACATGGGGATATGGGGATACAAGAATACGGGGATACAGGGTCAGGGGAACATGGGGACAGGGGACACGGGGTCAGAGAGACACCCCAGGGAGTGTAGGAGGACAACACTTGGCACTTGGAGCCAAGGAACTGTGGGATCATTGAGGCTGAGCCCGTGGAACCATCGAGGTTGGACCCAAAGATTTATGGAATGGTTAAGGTTGCAGCCCCAGAACCCCAGGATCATCAGGGCTGGACCCAAAAAACCCCACAAACCCCCCCAGAATCGTGGAGCTGTCGAGGTTGTCCCATAAATCCCAAGGTTGGACCCATGGAATCCTCCCCATTCCCAGATCCCCCTTTTCCCCCATTCCCACCTTCTCCAGGGCCTCCAGCCAGCCCCGGTTGGCCGCCAGCTCGGCCACGAAGGCCTGGTGCTTCTGCCACTTGCCCTGCAGGTCCCTCGTGCCCTCGTAGGACACGTCCCGCGCCACCGGCAGCTTCTCGTTGAGCCACAGGGTCAGCTGGGAACGGGAATGGGAATGGGATGGGGGGATGGATCTGGACCCTGTCCTGTCCTGTCCCATCCTTTCCTCATCCCCATCCCACCCCATGCCATCCCAATCCATCCCATCCCATCCCGATCCATCCCATCCCATCCCAATCCACCCCATCCCCATTCTCAGCTACATCCTATCCTAATCCTGTCCCCATCCTCATCCCCACCCCATCCCGATCCTGATCCTGACCCCGATCCCGATCCCTGTCCCACCTCCTGCGCATCCTGCAGGAACTTCTGCAGCTCCCAGTTGTCCCGCAGCCGCCCCAGCAGCTCCTGGGCCGATTCCCGGTTCTTCTGGTGCCTGTGCCGGGGCCGGGGGGTGAGAGACCGGATTCCCAGTGCCGGGATGGATGGGATGGGATGGGAGGGGATGGGATGGGATGGACATGGATAATGGGATGGGAACTGGAGCAGGATGGATGGGATGGGATGGGATGGGATGGGATGGGATGGGATGGGGATGGGAACTGGAGCAGGATGGGTGGGATGGGCTGAAGGGAATGCAGTGGGATGGGATGGATGGGATGGACTGGGACGGGGTGGGAAGGACTGGGAAGGACGAGGATGGGGTGGGAAGGACTGGGAAGGACTGGGAAGGACAAGGATGGAGTGGGATGGACTGGGAAGGACTGGGAAGGACAGATGGGTGGGATGGAGTGGGATGGGGTGGGATGGACTGGGAAGGACTGGGAGGGCAGAGCTGGGCGCCCCTCACCTGCTCTCCACCGACTCCACCGTCTCCCGCACCTTCTCGGCGTGGACGCCGCCCTCGCCCAGGAGCCTCCGGCCGGTGTCGGAGAGCGCCCGGACACGCTCGGCCCCCGCCTCCATGGCCGCCAGCGCCTCCTCCAGGCGCTTCACGGCCGCCTCGGCCCCGGGCACCGTCCCCGGCAGCTCCGTCAGCGCCAGCGCGTGCTCCTGCGGCGGGAGAGGGGCGGGATTGGGATCGGGGTCATGTTCGGGGTCAGGATTGGGATTGGGGTCACATTCGGGGTTGGGAGCAGGATCGGGGTCACATTCAGGGCCAGGATCGGGATTGGGGTCACATTTGGGGTCGGGATCGGGATCGGGGTCACATTCAGGGCCAGGATCGGGATTGGGGTCACATTCGGGGTCAGGAGTGGGATTGGGGGCACATTCGGGGTCAGGAGCAGGGTTGGGGTCACATTCAGGGTCAGGAGCAGGGTCACATTTGGGGTCAGGAGCAGGGTCACATTCAGGGTCAGGAGTGGGATTGGGGTCACATTCGGGGTCAGGAGCGAGATCGGGGTCACATTCAGGGTCAGGATTGGGATCGGGGTCACATTTGGGATCGGGAGTGGGATCGGGGTCACGTTCGGGGTCAGGAGCGGGATCGGGGTCACATTCGGGGTCAGGATTGGGATCGGGGTCACATTCAGGATCAGGAGCGGGATCGGGGTCACACTCAGGGTCGGGATCGGGATCACACCCGGGACGTTCCCAGCCCGCCCCTCACCTGCTTCCCGAGCGTCCCCTCCAGCTGCTTGGCGTCCCGCAGGAACACGTGGAAGGCGACGGCCTGGGCCAGGAGCTGCCGCCGCCTCTCCCAGGTGCGGCCCAGCTCGTCCCAGTCGGCGTCCAGCGCGTCCAGGCGCTGCAGCAGGGACAGGCTCTGGGCGTCGCCGCGGCCCTGGCTCAGCTCGCGGCCGGCGGCGCGGGCGCTCCGGTAATCGGCGCCGTAGTGGGAGATCTCGGCGCCGAGGCCCTCGTGGCGCCGCAGGGAGCCCTCGGCCTCGGCCAGCGACGCCGGCACGTCCTCGGAGGCGGCGGCCGCGCGCGCCCGCGCCAGCCAGGCCGTCAGCGCCGCCAGGTCCCGCAGGAAGGCCTGGAGCCGCCGCGCCTGCCCCAGCGCGTCCTGGCGGCCCCGCAGGCACCGGCTCAGCGCGGCCCACTCGGCCTCGAGCGCCTCGAGCCGCTCCCGCGCCTCGGGCCCCCGCTCCGGCTGCTCCCGCGCCAGCCGCTCCCCCTGCGCCCGCAGCTCCCGCTGCTTGCCCTGGATGGCCTCCAGGTCGTGGCCCAGCCCCGAGAGCCGCCGCTCCAGCGCCGCCAGCCCCGCCAGGTCCCGGCCCGGCGCCCGCGTGGCCTCGATGGCCGCCGCCTTCTCGCGCATCCAGCCCCGCGTCTCGTCGCACTCCAGGCGGAAGTTCTGGATGTCCAGGGCCGAGGTCAGCGCCGCCTTCTTGCGCTCGGCCAGAGCTCGGAACCGCTCCCACCTGGCACGGAGGGCACCGGGGTGAGGTGGGATGGAGCTCGGGAGCGCCCGGAGCGTCCCGGACTGCCCGGAGAACCCAGCCGGGGTGGAGAACCCAGCCGGGGTGGAGAACCCAACCGGGGTGGAGAACCCAGCCAGGGTGGAGAACCCAGCCAGGGTGGAGAACCCAACTGGGGAGGAGAACCCAGCCAGGGTGGAGAACCCAGCCGGGGTGGAGAACCCAGCCGGGGTGGAGAACCCAACCAGGGTGGAGAACCCAGCCGGGGTGGAGAACCCAACCGGGGTGGAGAACCCAGCTGAGGAGGAGAACCCAGCCAGGGTGGAGAACCCAGCCGGGGTGGAGAACCCAGCCCAGGGCCTGGAGAACCCATCCCTGCACCCACAGAGCCCCTCCACCTGGAGAACCCATCCCATCCCAGCCTGGAGAACCCATCCCAGCCTGGAACGCCCCCCCACCTGTCCCGGAGCTGTTCCCAGGTGTCCCGGGCGCTCTCCCGGGTCCGTTCTCCGGATCCCTGGAGCTCCTCGGCCGCGCGGCCGACGGCGGCGACTCGGGCGCCCAGGGCCGCCAACTCCGGCTCCAGCGTCTCGAACCTGCGGGAATGCCGGGAATGCCGGGAATGCCAGGAATGCTGGGAATGCCGGGAGCACCAGGCCAGAGGTGGGAATCCAGAGAATACCAAAAATACTGGGAATGCCACTCTGGAGGCTGGGACTTGGGGAATACCAGGAACACTGGGAATATTGGCAATACCATGTTGGAGGTGGGAATTCTGGGAACACTGGGAACAACACGTCAAGGAGAGAACCCAGAGCACACTGGGAACACAGGGAATACCACACGGGAGAGGAGAATTCTGGGAACAGTGGGAACACCAGGAACGGGGTGAATAGCGGGGCAGAGGCGGGAACTGAGGGAACACTGGGAATATCGATAATCGTGGGAATAGTGGAGGGATCTTCATTCTCTGGGTGCTCTTGGGTTGGATACCGGCACTGGGGGCATTCCCATGGGGGTCACTGCGGTCCCTGGGAGCATTCCCGGGCTCTGTGGGGGCCAGCGGACAGAGGAACCCCCCGCTCACCGCTGCTGCACCACCTCCAGGTCCTCGATGCGCTCGGGGATCTCCATGGAGAGCAGCCACTGCTCCCGCTCGCCCACCCAGAGGGCGCAGGCGTCGGCCTCGCCCCGCGCCGCCAGCAGCGCCAGCACCTCCCGCAGCTCCAGGCGCCGCGACTCCGCCCGCGCCTCCAGCTCCCGGTGCCGCCGCTCCAGCTCCTCCAGCCGCGCCGCCAGCCCCGGCTCCACGTCGGGCTGGCCGGGCTCGCCGGGCAGCGCCTGCTCCCGCAGCGCCGCCAGGGCCGCCCCGCGGCGCCGGAGCTCGTCCTGCAGCTCCCGCAGGCGCCGCTCCAGCACCCCGGCCGAGCGCTCGTCGTGGCCCTGCTCCGGCCCCGCCACGCGGCGCGACGCGGCCGCCAGCCAGGCCTCGGCCTCGGCCGCCTCCGAGGCCACCTGGAAGCGCCCCACGGCCGCCCGGAGCCGCCGCTCCCGCTCCCGCGCCAGCGCCGGCAGCGCCGACCACAGCGACTCCAGCGCCCGCAGCCGCCGCTCCAGCGCCGGCACCGGCTCCGCGCTCCGGGACGAGCCCTCGGGGGCCGTGGCACCTTCCAGGGATGCGGCCTGGGCTTCCTCGGCCCTGGGGGCGGCTCCCGTGGGCTCCGCGCTCCGTGTGGCTCTGGTGGCAGATCCCAAGGATCCAGGGCTGAGTTCCACGGGTTCCACGCTCTGTGTTGCTCTGGTGGCGGATCCCACAGATCCAGGGGTTAATTCCATGGGTTCCATGCTCTGTGTTGCTCTGGTGGCGGATCCCATGGATCCAGGCGTTAATTCCACGGGTTCCTCAGTCCCTGCTGCTCCCGCGGCGGATCCCGTTGATCCCGTGCCATGTGCCACCAACCCCGCGTCGGATCCCGCGGTTCCATCGGCGGCCCCGGCACCCTCGGGGGGTCCGAGCGCCAGCAGCTCCCGTCCCCGCTCCAGCAGCCGCTCCAGCGGCGCCCCGCGGCCCCCCAGAGCCCCCCGGATGGCCTCGAGCTGGCTCAGCATCCGCAGCGCCCCCGGCAGGTCCCGGCCCAGCTCGGGGCAGCGCAG